TAGCACGTGGAAAAGCACGGAAGAATTGAAAGGCAATGAATGCGAACATTGACATACGGGGTGCGGTCGCTAGTCTCCCACCCACTGGATCTGCCACAGGCAGGGCGTGTGAGAAGACAGTGCGCGGAAAAAAACGCCTCTTTCGAAGGGCTGATTCTGCACTTCGTTAATCGTCGTGGCAAAGGTCGGACGGGGAATTGACACCGAGCGGAGACGAAGAACAGCCTAAAAATCGTGAGGTCACATTTAACTGTCGCTTTGTAGGATAATACGGTGTGGCTTTTTATTGCCTGCCTCACGCTGTTCTGCGGACATCGCAACCCGCTGCGCACGTTTCCGAAGTTGGTGACCCTGGGGCCACGCTGCGTGAACATATTACTATGGCAATGGGATAGCACACGCGTGTTTCATGAGTATGTGCGCGCGCATTTCACCGACCCCCACCACCACGGACCACAGTAGATTTATTTATATAGATGGCTCCTCCTAAAATTACCCCCAGAAGATATATCCCAAAATTAGGATTTTCCCTTTCGACTGCATTCCAGCAGGTACCTATTTAAGATGGTTTCAGCTTTTTGTCTCCATGATTCCCTGGAACGAAATAATTTTGGGGGGTTAGGCCCACCCCAAAAATTGTCCTTACTGTCCGTACTGTCCTTTTTTTTCCTCCTGGAATCTGCATCTCAATAGGTATCAATGCACCTAAGTTCAGCCTCTCGGTCTCTCCGTTTCGTAGGAGCACAAGAAGTAATAGAGATTCTCGTACGTCTCTCCCAAAAAACTACCTAAAAATTATATCATCAGAGCTTTTCGAGTACCAAGTTCGATCTTTCTATCTCATCTTTCTAACCATTTTCTAGACTAAAACATAGTTACAATTACTGTAGAATCAGTCCCTTGGTCACACAATAACGATCGTAATACTAGAAAATAGGGAAAAAGAAGTAATAGTTTGAGAGAGGGTAATCATTCATTGGCACCATAATGAAGGACTTCAAGCCTTATTGAGACATTAAAACGGGAGTGTTCGAACTGTGAGGTGAAAGTGTCCGAACTCAATTTTCCCCGTATCTAAGTTCGGACTTCCTCATTACAGGCAATATCGGAAGTCATGGGGCTTGGAAGGGCAACATCTTCGGGGCATTTCTGCCTCCTCGTGTCGTGCTCCCAGGAACCAGCATCCAGCTTGAACCGCTGAGATAGGACGAGCGAATGATGGAGCTCGATCAGCTTAACTGTCCGAACATTGGTAGCTTTACCCTCGTTTTCCATACCGTCATGACTTATCTTCGTCAGCGACAAAGTGAAATCGGATCGCGTCAACTTCATAAGAATAGCTTATTTGGAGGTCCAGAGAAGGCTCGCAGCCTTTGGGAAAATAATACAAGGGTATAATCGCGACACCCTAGTCATTTAAGTAGAAATATATTTCCAATCAGCAGGAAGCTATTTGATTCAAGTTGAAACACCAACGATTAGAGCGTATCGCATTCCGGGGAGGCCTATAAACTGGTTTTCCGCCAGTGAAGATTTATTCCTATCGTGGTTCGGCCCTCGAAGGCAAGTTGCTTCAGAGGGGCGAAGCAACATGGTCGTCTCCTGAGTTGGCCATCGAGGGCTCTGAGAAACGCTAATTATACAAAACAAAAAGCTCGAGTTTCGTTGTTTTCCCCCATGACATCTCTCGTTTCGGGTCCTTACCTCTCCCTGATACCTGGGCAGGATATCACTGAAAAACGTCCATGTTCTACGTCCACAACATGTCTGCATCCTCTCTGAACGCCGACTGGAAGAGATACGTACCAAAAGTTCTCAGATGTATTATACCATTGCAAATTATCGCAATTTCACTCAAGACAATGGCAAAATCATCGAAGTTTTATATTCATCTGATTTATTTCTGTTTCTGAGGCATCAATATCGAATAACACGAGCTTACTTGCCACGACTGGCTCAATCTCACTTAATTCTTTAGCGAATCAGGCACTAGTAGTAAGAGAATATCTGAAAAACCTTTGGAGAAGAATTTCAAAACTTATTTTCATCTCTTGCGTGTATGTTTTTAGGTTTTTTATGTATTAAGCAGAAAGAAATGTTTGAATATTAATAGAATCGTGCCGTTTTACTGACTCTCGCCATGGAAAACTACTGAAACCTTCCGCCGACGACCACGATCGACTGGTCGTTTCGCTCTATGAAGACAGAA